TCCTCTTTACCAGAAATATGTATTTTTATCGTATTTTTAATTTTCGATTCGAAAAAATCGCAAATTCATACCGTAGCGATATGGATCGAAATGTGAAAAAACGGGCGTTGTTTTGCGCGAAATCGTTCCGCGTTTAACAATCGTCGTGTCGCGCGTTTGAACGATTGTGCCCGATAAATGGAGTTTTAACGCTCTTATCGCGCGCCATTTGTCGATTTTAATTCCGCCGCTGGCGATGTCGTAACTAAATTAATTACGCGAGTATCTGTTTCGTGCGATTACAATGTTTCGCGCGTGCGTCCTCCGTCCCGTTAAAACACGCTCCGAAATGAGAAACGAGAACCGACACGGCGCAAAGTTAGGCGGGACTTGGTGCTTCCCCGGATCGTGTTTGCATTATAATAGGGGGATAAATATGCATCTGCGAACTAGGAATTGAAACTGTTATAATATCTCCATAAATTGGCGTGATATGTTTTTTTTCTCCAAAAATGGAAACGCGATGATATCGAATTGTGTCTCTCTCTGTGTGAGCCTTGATAAATTGAATAACAACAGGTTTCAGAGGATCTGCTTTGCGAATATTGCAGGTTCACTGCGTATGAAATATAGCGATTTAGAAGCATCGCTCCTGAATTTTCATAAAAGTAAACATTCTTTCCATAATCAAGCACCATATATAATTAACATGCCGAAATACTTGCAATTATTTTATTAAAGCAAAAATATATCAACTGTATAGCTGAAATATTTAATTTTTTATTTAAATTTAATTTAAATTTAAATTTATATTTAAATTTTTTAATTTTAATTTTAATTTTTAATTTAAATTTCTAATTTTTAATTTAATTTTTAATTTTAATTTTTAATTTTAATTTTAATTTTAATTTTAATTTTAATTTATTTTGATATTTTAATTTTAATTTTCAATCTTCTATATTTTATCCAAGTGAAATTACTTCTTGTTGGCTTTTTACTCCAAGAAACACATAGAAAACTTTTTCTCACATCTAATATAATTATACATTATTGCCTCGAAAATTAGCTAGTGAGAATATCGTGTTGTTTTAGAAACGATATTTTTACATTCAATTTTTTATATTCCATGCAATCAAACATCAAAATACTTTTAATGAAACAAATTAATAAAATAATAGAAATAAATACATTAATAGGAGAGAATCTAGTAGCTGACGAAATCACGAATATAAAAATTCGTCTCACACAGTACACGCAGTGTTTCACTGTAAGTTTCGCAACTTTAGTCTTTCAATTTGAATTGGTGCGACTCGTCACGTCTCGGGTCGCGAATTTTCCAACGAGTTCATCCTGTAATTTCGTTACTACGTCTAGTTCGTCTAACGAAAAAGTTGCTCTTAAAGTTACAGCTTTACAGCGTAAAATTACGCCATCATCGTTGTTTCCGCTGCAAGAGCGGAAAGGGGAGAGGGGGAGAAAAAAAGAATAAAACAGAGAGAAAGAGAAAAGAGAAAAACTCGCATCTTGTTGCTCCTTTGCTTCCTTTGTCACACGTGTCAACGACCGAGCGCGATTGTCGATAATCCTTCTCTAGGCCTTTCGAGACACGATTCCAGACCGTTTTTATCAGAACAGGTCGCATGAAAGTCCGATAATTCAATTTGCGGTCGCAGCGATTTCCGTCCTCATGAACCCTACCACCTCTAGCCTACCGTACACCGTCGTGGGTTATGTACGAGGACATATGCGTCGTTAATAATGCTCCCGCGCGTCTAGTTTTATATCGTACATGTTAATCAACAATCTCGTTACGAATTCAGTTCCCCTCGGTGCGGGCCTCTCCCCTTCTTCTCCTCCCTCGCACATAGCAGTCGATAATAATCCTACGTGAGGATTCCTGGAAATTTGCAGAGCATACATTTTAATGCAATTAGTACACACAATCAAAATCTATCTAATGGAATGAAAATTTATACGATTTATTTTACAGCCGCGCCGAAGAGAAACAAAGGCGGATGAAACGCACGCGCATTTCCGGGAAATTCGAGGGAAGATACGGGTGACAAAGGCTGGATTAAAGCGAGAAAATGCGACGAGCACTCGCGGCGCATCGCGATTCGAGACGTCGAGACAATGCCAGGAGCATAAGATCGGGAGGAAGGAGTCAGGTGAGAAAGAGAAGAGGACCCTTCGCTCCTCTCATCACCTCCCTCCCCCCTCGCAATGTCTAAATAGGTTCCTTCCGCGTTAGCTTCGCTCGCGAATCTTACTTTTCGCTCTCGCGTAAGTTAAGGGAGAGGAATATTCCACTTCTCCAATGCTCGGAAGGGGCGCGAATATTCCCGGATCTCCCACAATTTTCCAGAAGAATGTCCCATTCACCCCTATCCACCCCTCATTAGAGCCGATGCGAATCGAATTTCGTACCGTATATCGAGGGATTTCCCTCGGAAACTTATTCGCGCGCGTATCACCGGGAACAGATTGATAGCCGGGATCTTTTCCGCATCTTTTCTCGAATCTTGCGTGACAATTGCAAGGATATACAATTCTTTTCTCATTTTCCGCAGCATCGCGTTCCCTCTTTTCTCTCTCCCTTCATTCTCTTATCGCTCCAAATACACTAAATACACATGTGTGTATTTATAAGAATGCTTGACATTTTAATATGGGAAAAACATCGATATTTTCTTAACATTAGCAAATATATATTTACCAATTATAAAAATTATCTAATATAAGGAACTCAAAGAGAAGAATGTTTAATGCTGCCTAATTTTTGAATGGCACAAACTACCAACGAAACGAAAAGCACTACAAACAACTACAAACAATTCTAAAGAAGACTGCGCAAGCGGATTTGCGATATCTCAATAAACAAAAAAGTTTACTCTTGGCCATTTGTTTAAATGTTTATAATTTTTGAACCGTTCAACTACAAACGAAACGAAAAGCACTACAAACAACTACAAACGATTCTAAAGAAGACTGCGCAAGCGGATTTGAGATATTTAATGTCGGGTGCGAGTCATTTTTTCGAATTTTTATATTTTTTAAGGAATAAAACTACAAACGAAATTATTGTTACTACAAAACAACTACAATCGAAATGCTATCGTTTTTTGTATTAAAAATTAATTTTTTAAAAGTCGGATGCCAGGTTCACATAGTTGACGTCAGAAGCGAGAAAACGCATGATTTGACAACTATTGAAAGAGTAGAAAAAAAATTAAAAAAATGATAAAGAAAAAGAAACAAAGAAAATTAGAAAAAAAGAAACAGGATAATTTACATGTGCGCATACATAATATAAATATAAAGTGGGACATAATAAAGTTCAACAACTTATATAAATCAAAGAATCATTAAAAGTCTGTATCAGTGATGCAGAGTCATCAGATCAGTTAGCAGAGTCAGAGCAGAACTTCAATAACTTATAAAAATCGAGGAAACATCAGAATCAGTTCATTAACAGAATCAAATAGCTTTGAGATTGGAAGGTGAGATAATATCATCATAAAAGAGTTTTGGACGACAATTATAATCAGGTAAATAAAATAAATCTTACCATATTTTGTGTCTAATAATTGTTCGGTTTTATGCAATAAATAAATAAAATTTAAAAAATTATGAAAATATAAAACTGTCTTTTTAAGGAATATTGTTATCGGCAAAATACATTTGTCTTTAAGTTATAAAAATTTTGAAAAAATTATTTAAAAAATGATTTTTTTTGCAAAGTTCTTATTTAATTATTCATAAACTATAATATTTTATTCGTAGAAATATTTGTAAAAATATATAAAACAAATAAAGCAAAAGTTTAGAAAATATTCGTTAGAAAAATTTATGTTGAAGATACTTGTATTTAATATCTATCTTTATTAATATTCATACATAATACGTACATTACATACACAGACATACTCATACATTGCTCCTATTTTAAAAATTGATTCAAGGAAATTAACATTATTCCTTATTCTCTAGCATAACATTTCACAATCTTAATATTCGATAAAATCGATTGAACGAACTGTGAGCCACAAACTAAGAGCAAATAATTACATAACAGCAAAGATAATATTTACGTGTTGTTTTTTTGGATTATAAAATCATATATTATGATCAAAATAAATAAAAATAATTTATATAAAATAATTTATAAAAATAATTTATATCTCTTCTGAATAAAATTTTCTTCTTATGTGAAACGTTTGCGATAGAATATCTGTTTATATAAGTCCTCGCTTTTTACGACAATGAAAATGCTAATTTAGAACATATACTGATAAATAGCTGATATTATAGCTTAAGAATTTACTTTTTAATAGCAAGTCATGCTTGTTTTGTACGATATGTTGTGTAACTGAATATGAAAAATATATTTCAATATTCTATCAATATACATCATATCTTACAAAACAAGTATTACTGTCTATTAAAATGCAAATTTTAAGATTACGTAAAATAGTATATCTTTAAGTATCAAATCCTACAATATAACTAGTACCAAAAATTTTTTCTCCTTTTCTCTTTTGTACTGCCTATAAATATATTACTTAAATTTTTCTAAGAGACAGAAAAAAAGAGGAAGTAAGAAAACGAATCAATTCTTATTTTACTTTTATCTAAAATATATATTATTAATATTTAATATGTATTACTAACTTTCCAGAATTATGGCGAAAATATTCGATGGCATGCTTCTTCTGATAGAAATATTATTTCTTATTTTAAAAGTTTTTTATTTTTTTTACGAGAGCATATTCACAATGTTTATTCCAATAACAAAAAGGAGCGTAGCTGGTGAAATAGTTTTGGTGCGTGGAATTCGTACAATATGCATAGATAAAAAAGCTGTTTTTTCTATACTAATATATTCAATTTATAAAATTAATATATGTAAATATGTTAACAAATTTATCTTATTGAAACAATATTTCGTCTTATAAATTATTCTATCAAATAGCAAACCAACTTGAATTAAAAATGTGTAAATTGTAAACTATCGAATATTCATGATAATATTTGTAACTATATATAATATATAATAATAATATATATCATGAAAATATATAATGATACTTAATACATTTATTGCGATAGATAACAGGTGCAGATCATGGTATCGGAAAAGAATTAGCGATTGGTTATGCATCGTTAGGAGCAACAGTCATATGTTGGGATATTAATGAAGAAACTAACTATCAAACAATGAACGAGATTAAAATGATGGAGAAAGGCGCTGTATACGCATATCAGTAAATCAATGCTACTTGATTTTATAAAATAAAAAATAATAAGTAAAGTTCGAATAGTTTACGCGCATACAATTAATTACAATTAACAACACATATTTTAACTACTATCAGCTGATTAAAAATTGGAGAAAAATTTTTATAGGTGTAATGTAGTGGACAGAAAAGAAGTCTTTAGGGTAGCTGAAAAAGTGAGAAAAGAAGTTGGCGACGTTACTATTTTAGTCAACAATGCCGGTATAGGATTTTTCAGAGCACTCTTAAATAACAGTGCCGATAAAATTACACGAGTTATAGATGTCAATTTAAAATCGCATTATTGGGCAAGTGATATATTTGAAATACACACACATAGCAATTATAAGATATATACACACAGATATATATAATATAAAGCCTATATAGCATTATAGTCTTATGTATATAAAATAATTAGCAATATAATTTACATTATTCTTAGAAATAGAGATAATACTGAAAATTAATTTACCACATTCACAATTAAAATAAGTTCAAAACACTAAATAAGTATATTCACATGTATACATACACATGCATGCACGTGTAATTGTTCTCAACGAAATCTTTAGACGTTGCAAGCATTCCTACCAAGTATGATTGAAAAGAATCATGGTCATATTGTGGCAGTCTCATCATTAGCAGCATTTAAAGGCGTTGCACGTGGTACGGTTTATTGTCCCACAAAATCAGCGATCAGAGGTAATTCAATCTTATTATAGTCTTATTCGTATGTCTAACGTGTAATTATTAACCTTTGCTTCAAGATATTTTAGTGGTACTTTTGGTAAATATAAATAATTTTATTATAATCGACTGCTATCAGTTAAATTGTTTCTAAATATATCAAAATCAAAGTCAATCTCTTCATTGTCGAAAAAATCAAAATCTTTAAAATACTTTTCTTTTTATATTTTTTAATTGTGATACAAAATAATATGTCGCCGTAGCGGCGCCTATGGAGTGCAAAGGATTATGTAATATAATATAATATAATGTAATATAATTGTAAATTGACGAATATTATGCGAATATAAATTCAAGATGAAAATAAAAATACAATTACAGAGTATATTTTTCTAATATTCTTTTCATATGCGTATTATAGCACTGATGGAAGCTATCAGCGATGAATTACGTATACATAGCAAAGGAAAATCTTTGATTAAATTTACTACCGTCTTTCCGACCTTAGTACTTACTGGAATTCTCAAAAATCCAAGATTAAGGTACATTTATATAATAATATAGAATTAATAAATTGTAAATAATATTTCTTAATAACGATAAATATATGTAAATATATAAATTATAATCTTATTCATATGTATATATTTTGTAAATCAGCATATTTTGACAAATAATTAGAGTTTTTTATTAGCATTAGATCTTATATACATTTACATTGAAAAAAATGTTTTAAGTAATAAAATATAAAATAATAATTATTCTGATAAATAATTTTATTTTATTTGTCAATGATAGATTTGCAAATATAATGAAAGGGCTTACACCACAGGAAGCAGCTTCACTAATAATTGATGCACAAAGACAGAATTTCCGAGAAAGAAGTATACCTTCATATTGGCTGTCGATATCGCGTTTATTAGGGTAAATGGCAGTAAATAAAAATTCAAATCATTAAATGCATAGATTTTCAAATAAATCATAGTTACATATGCCAATAAGCTGCAAGGCAATTCATAAATCGCTAATAAATCGCAAATATTATTGTACCATGTTCATATTATTTCTGTACATTTTCTATAATGAAAATAATATTTTAATTTCAGATTGATACCCAACAAAGCATTCAATTGCATTTACGATTTCGTAGATTTCGGCTGTGATATAGAAAATTAAAGAATAAATATATATATATATATATATATATATATTTATATTTATATAATGATGTACACCGGCCCATATTTTTTCCAAATTCTCTAATATATATATATATATATATATATATATATATATATATATATATCTTTCAATATATGTATTACTCTGAATTTGTTATTTGTGTCTTGCACATTCAAAATATTAAAAATATTATTATTTTATAATTATAATTATTATAATCATAATAATTATTATAACCATTATAATTTTATTATAATTTTTCAATTTATAAAATAAATATCTTTTGTAGCAAATTACTGTTATTTAAAATAAAAAAATAATTAAAATAATTAAAAAATAATTTCAATATTTTTTAAAATAATTTTATGTACATATTTTATATAAAATGTTTGAATGTAAAATATGTGAAATTATTTCCATTTGATAATATGAAAGATAAAATTTATTACAACCTTTCATATTTAAATTAGAATAACTTTAGATTTGAATAAATTTAATACATTATCAAAATACTACATCAATAAATAAATAATTTTTTATTCATTATCACATTCTAATTTAACGAATTGATTTCTTTATAGTGAATAAAATGATAATAATTCAAATAGACTGTTGTAGAGTTCCATAAATTTTTATTTGTTATAATGATTTTAAGAATCGTAAAAATATAACTCGTGAGAATATCGAAGATAAAATTAATATACTACATATAGATAAATTTTGCAATTAGCCATTTAATTCAACAACTCTGATAAACTTTATTTATATCTATATATAATATAATAATATTAATATCTATCATTTTATATTCCACATTTCTTTCCTTTATATTTTTCAATTAAATTTTCTTATCTTTGCTACAAATGTAAATCCGTTTTTAACATAGGCATAGGGTCGAATCGAACATTATTATTACTCTTTTTTCATAATGTAATACAAATTAAAATTTAATATATGTGAAAACAAACTACACAAATTAAATAAATTTCAATCTGATTTTAATTTATAATAATTTTGTAATTTACATATAGAATTTTTATGCAAAATAAGTTAAAAACAAAATTTAAATAATAAGATTCATTAAGCTATTTGAAAGATTCATAGAGAAATCAGTAGTATGCGCATTAATTACGATAAATTCTGATAAATGCGAATTTTTCTTGATATTAATATGTAATTGAATTAAATTATTGAGACATTGATATTTTTATGTTAAAAATACTTTTTAATATTTTGGTATTTTCATATCTTTGAATTTTTTTTAATAAACTTCGTTTTAAAAAAAGAAGAATTAAAATATTTTATTTAATAATAGCAATCCCACTTTTATATATACTTTTATTAATGACTATATTTTTATTAATATATTAATATAATTCCATAAAAAATGTAAAAGTTTTCATTTCATTATAACTATATATTTTTAAAATTTAGTGAAACTTAGTGTAGCAATACAATATATACTACATATTTTATGTATCGTAACTCAATAACCAACTATCATAATAACCAACTATTCCACATTGGAAATAAATGTAACATATTTGTATCAATAAAAAACTTGTATTAATAATTCATATTTTAACGTCAGATACAAATGTATGAATATTAACTCTTGTGAATGAATTATTTTCATGACTGAGAAAGATATTATTGTGATTTCAAACTATAGTAGATTAAATGATGTGTTGGCTGTTATAATATTAATTAATTAATTAAATAATTGATTAATTAATGTAAATCATGTTTATCGCAAAATTTATTATTATAATTTATGTATTTTGATATAAAATATTTTGTAATGAAAATTACAATAAAATTAAATGTACACATTTTTAATTAATTTTTGGAGAAATGTTCCCTTTGAAGAATATTTTTAATTTAAATGATGCTTCATTCACGGATACAGATGGGAATATTCGCATATTATTAAGAAAGTAATCCGAGACAAATGTATCAATAAAAATGTATATCAAGATTTGAACAGACGTGCAAGTATTTTATATTCGCGACAGCAAAATATTTTGCGTACAAATTTGACCTGATTAAAATTTCACTGTAATTTTCGGTGATTCGTGTACAGATTTTTCGCGATTGCGAACATCAAGCTGTAATTCGTTCTTCGTGTACATGTTGTTTGCGTAATTGCGTTCCTTTGTTTTAAGATATATATTTACTCGTGTGGCACAACCTTACATCGGGGCTTAAATTAATGTCTCCATATATTGTGTCCTTTGTAGATTAGCATGTGCGCGAGGTAATTCGTAAAGGCGGCTGATTTGAAACGTGACGTCTTCAATCTCGGTCACGAGAGATGGAGATTTCATGGTATTTCACGAGCGGCGAACGAAAAATAATCATCGTGCAAACGAGAAATATAAAACTGGAAACACGAAACAAATGAAACGACAGAAAAAGCTTGTAAAATTATATAAACGTTAAAATCCATAATCTGAATCTGGAAAAATTTAGAAAATTCCTCCCCACAAAAAACTCATCTTCATAATTTGAAATAGAGCTCGTTATTTACGAGAAAATTACGAGAGCACATTTTACGACTGGTTAATTATGAGAAAATTACGAGAGAACATTTTACGACTGGTAATTCACTTTTCCGGGTGAAACAAGGGATTGTCACGTTTAGAGAACGCGATTTTTCGTAAAAAAGTCGCACCCAGGATTTCGCGAGCGACTCGAGTAAAGAGGTGAGACACGCGAAAAGGGACGACGTGCAACTTTCTAATTCTATTCAATTAACAATTTAATTAGCGTATCGCACTAGTTTGTAACATCCGATCGAATTTCTCGCGACTAACGCCTCCCTTTCCCCTTGCGATGTCTAAATAGCTTCCTTCCGCGTAGCTTCGCTCGCGAATCTAACTTTTCGCTCTTGCGTAGTTAAGGGAGAGGAATATTCCACTTCTCCAATGCTCGGAAGGGGCGCGAATATTCCCGGATCTCCCACAATTTTCCAGAAGAATGTCCCATTCCACCTCATTAGCCAATACGAATCGAATTTCGTACCGTTATATCGAGGGATTTCCCTCGGAAACTTATTCGCGCGCGTATCACCGGGAACAGATTGATAGCCGGGATCTTTTCCGCATCTTTTCTCGAATCTTGCGTGACAATTGCAAGGATATACAATTCTTTTCTCATTTTCCGCAGCATCGCGTTCCCTCTTTTCTCTCTCCCTTCATTCTCTTATAGCTCCAAAATTAAGGCGATTAACGTTTCAAGAGCTGCTTTGAAAAAAGCATATATCTATATATCTTTCTTTCTTTAAAAGTTAATCGTCTTAATTTTGAAATAACAAAAAGAAAAATATAAAAAGAACATTGCGGAAAACTTTGTACAGGATATGCATTCTGTCGAGAAATGATCCAGTGGGCGGATAAAATACGTTGATGTTACTTTATACTTTAATGTTGGCTAGATTATACAGAACATTTCATGATAAGCATTGTGTAGGAGATAATAGAGCTTTCTTTTTTTCATCTCTTTACGCTAAATTTAGTAATAAAAGTCGTTTTTAATCACTCGAAAACCATTATGTTCCTTTTTAAATAACACTATATGCTAACGTTTTTTACTTATATATTGTAAATTTTTAATTTTCGTGTTTTATGTTTCATATATGTTGGATGCAATTCGGTGATGAATAATAGGGAAATCTCTCTTTCATTAGTAAATTAAATAAATATTTGAGGCAGGGGGGCATAAGGAGAAAATTGGTGTACCAAAGTGGGTACTTTTTTAAATAGACAGTAAATATTGACAAAGATTGCTCTCAACGTGAAGTAAAATTAATGTTGTTTTAAATGTGTAGAAGAATCAAAGTTAGAAGAAACAAAATTAATGAGTACTTACGGGATGTAATTAATGAGTACTTATTATTATTACCGAATGATATTAATAATTAATAATGATTATTGATTATCATAAGTAATTGATTATTGATTATCGAAAGTAGCTTCTTTCTAAAAAGCAAATTTAAAAAAATACATTAATAAAAATAAAAATAAAATAACATTAAATTCTTGAAGGTCGCCAGTAGATAAAATAAAAGACGTAATTAAAATCGACCACACTGGCACTTTTATTAAAGGTAAAATCACGTTTAATCAATGCGTTGAGTTTTTTAGGCACATTGTAAACAACAACAACCAATAACAGGACGGAAGTCGTTTACAAATTAAACTGCAAAAATTGTAATAAATCATATATTGGCCAAACAAAAAGACATGTAAGCACTCGTGTAAAAGAACATCGCACCAACATAAAAGTGCACGAAAGTAATTTTTCTGTTATCAGCAAACATAAAGTTGAATTTAATCATGACTTCGATTGGTCATTACCGGTTATTTTACATAATGAGAAACACGTGAGAAAGAGAGAAATTGCCGAAATGTTTTTTATAAAAAAGTTTGACAACACGATTAACTTACAAAAGGATACCGAAAATTTAAACAACATTTATGATAGACTAATAAAGGTTGTCTAGTCTTTTTCTGTGTGTCGATGGAGAGGTTAACATGATAATCTTGACGAAGTAATCTTGACGAAGTTTCTTATTTCTCACGATAGAATAATTAACTAAATTACTGTATGTATATAACTTGTTGCTCATTTTTTATTTCAAAATCAATGTAATTTATTTTTTGTTTGTAATACTGGAAATAATTTTTTGTAGTTCACTCGAAAAGGACTAAAACCTATGGTCGAAACGTTGTGATTTTTTACCTCAATAAAATTGCCAGTGTGGTCGATTTTAATTATGTCTTTTATAAAAATAAAATATGTTTCAAATATGTTTTACGTTCTGGAAAGAGAATTCGCGTCATCATTATCGTTTACAATTGTGTAAATATATAAATTGATAATTTCTTTCATAGTATATAAAAAATATAATATATATAATAAATATATTGAAGATAAAAATTAAATTAAATTAAAAATGAATTTAAAGAATCAAGAAGCCTTTGAATACATAAATTCAATTCAAATAATAATAGATGCCAAATAAACCGATGGTCATCTGTCATTTTCACAGAAAATTAATTTTCTTATGAAACTGATTAGTGTGCTGAATTTTTTTTTTGGTATCAAATAAATATATAAATTTCAATTCGAGATTCTTAGTCTTAATGACTACTTATGACTACTAAAAATGATTACTATGATTCTTAGTGACTACTCAGGAGCTTAAAATATTTTATATATGTATATATATATATATAAAATATTTTAAGCTCCTGAGTAGTCACCGCAGTCATATTAAAATCATGACGTCAGAAGCGAGAAAACGCATAATTTGACAACTGTTGAGAAGAGTAGAAAAAAAATTTTTTAAATGATTAAAAAAATGATAAAAAAAAGAAAAAAAGAAGAAAAAAAGAAAAATAGAAGCAAAAAAACAGGAGAATTTACATGTGTGTGCATACATAGTATAAATATAAAGTGGGACATAATAAAGCTCAACAACTTATAAAAATCAAAGAATCATTAAAAGTCTGTATCAGTGATGCAGAGTCATCAGATCAGTTAACAGAGTCAAAGAGCAGAACTTCAACAACTTATATAAATCGAGGAAACATCAGAATTAGTTCATTAATAGAATCAAACAGCTTTGAGATTGGAAGGTGAGAATAATATCATCATAAAAGAGTTTTGGACGACAATGATAATCAGGTAAATAAAATAAATCTTACCATATTTGTGTCTAATAATTGTTCGGTTTTATGCAATAAATAAATAAAAATTTAAAAAATTATGAAAATATAAAACTGTCTTTTTAAGGAATATTGTTATCGGCAAAATACATTTGTCTTTAAGTTATAAAAATTTTTGAAAAAATTATTAAAAAAATGATTTTTTTGCAAAGTTCTTATTTAATTATTCATAAACTATAATATTTTATTCGTAGAAATATTTGTAAAAATATATAAAACAAATAAAGCAAAAATTTGGAAAATATTCGTTAGAAAAATTTATGTTGAAGATACTTGTATTTAATACCTATCTTTAAGTATTGATATTCATACACAATACGTACATTACATACACAGACACACTCATACATTGCTCCTATTTTAAAAATTGATTGAAGGAAATTAACATATTCCTTATTCTCTAGCATAACATTTAATCTTAATATTCGATAATCTATTGAACGAACTGTGTACCACAAACTAAGAGCAAATAATTACATAACAGCAAAGATAATATTTATGTGTTGTTCTTGTATAAAATCATATATTATGATCAAAATAAAATAAAAATAATTTATATAAAATAATCTATAAAAATAATTTATACCTCTTCTGAATAAAATTTTCTTCATATGTGAGACGTTTGCGATAGAATATCTGTTATATAAGTCCACGCTTTTTACGACAATGAAAATGCTAATTCAGAACATATACTGATATAAATAGCTGATAGCTATGTAGATATTATAGCTTAAGAATTTACTTTTTAATAGCAAATCGCTTGTTTTGTACAATATGTTGTGTAACTGAATATTAAAAATATATTTCAATATTCTATTAATATACATCATATCTTACAAAACAAGTATTACTGTCTATTAAAATGCAAATTTTAAGATTACGTAAAATAGTATTATATATCTTTAAGTATCAAATCTTACAATATAACTAGTATCAAAAATTTTTCTCCTTTTCTCTTTTATACTGCCTATAAATATATTACTTAAATTTTTCTAAGAGACAGAAAAAAAGAGAAAGTAAGAAAATGAATCAATTCTTATTTTACTTTTATCTAAAATATATATTATTAATATTTAATATGTATTACTAACTTTCCAGAATTATGGCGAAAATATTCGATGGCATGCTTCTTCTGATAGAAATATTATTCTTATTTTAAAAGTTTTTTATTTTTTTTGGGAGAGCATATTCACAATGTTTATTCCAATAACAAAAAGAAGCGTAGCTGGTGAAATTGTTTTGGTGCGTGGAATTCATACAATATGCATAAATAAAAAAGCTGTTTTTTCTATACTAATATATTCAATTTATAAAATTAATATGTGTAAATATGTTAACAAATTTATCTTATCGAAACATTATTTCGTCTTATAAATTATTCTATCAAATAACAAACCAACTTGAATTAAAATTAGTAAATTGTAAACTATCGAATATTCATGATAATATTTGTAACTATATATAATATATAATAATAATATATATCATGAAAATATATAATGATACTTAATACATTTATTGCGATAGATAACAGGTGCAGATCATGGTATCGGAAAAGAATTAGCGATTGGTTATGCACGTTAGGAGCAACAGTCATATGTTGGGATATTAATGAAGAAACTAACAATCAAACAATGAACGAGATTAAAATGATGGGGAAAGGCGCTGTATACGCATATCAGTAAATCAATGCTACTTGATTTTCATCAATCAAAATCTTTAAAATATTTTTCTTTTTATATTCTTTAGTTGTGATACAAAATAATATGTCGCCGTAGCGGCGCCTATGGAGTGCAAAGGGTTATGTAATATAATATAATATAATATAATATAATTGTAAATTGACGAATATTATGCGAATATAAATTCAAGATGAAAATAAAAATACAATTACAGAGTATATTTTTCTAATATTCTTTTCATATGCGTATTATAGCACTGATGGAAGCTATCAGCGATGAATTACGTATACATAGCAAAGGAAAATCTTTGATTAAATTTACTACCGTCTTTCCGACCTTAATACTTACTGGAATTCTCAAAAAATCCAAGATTAAGGTACATTTATATAATAATATAAAATTAATAAATTGTAAATAATATTTCTTAATAACGATAAATATATGTAAATATATAAATTATAATCTTATTCATATGTATATATTTTGTAAATCAGCATATTCGACAAATATAATTTAGAGTTTTTATTAGCATTAGATCTTATATACATTTATATTGAAAAAAATGTTTTAAGTAATAAAAATATAAAATAATAATTATTTTGATAAATAATTTTATTTTATTTGTCAATGATAGATTTGCAAGTATAATGAAAGGGGCTTACACCACAGGAAGCAGCTTCACTAATAATTGATGCACAAAGACAGAATTTCCGAGAAAGAAGTATACCTTCATATTGGCTGTCGATATCGCGTTTATTAGGGTAAATGGCAGTAAATAAAAATTCAATCATTAAATGCATAGATTTTCAAATAAATCATAGTTACATATGCCAATAAGCTGCAAGGCAATTCATAAATCGCTAATAAAATCGCAAATATTATTGTACCATGTTCATATTATTTCTGTACATTTTCTATAATGAAAATAATATTTTAATTTCAGATTGATACCCAACAAAGC